GACTGCTGGAATGCAGATGTCTGAAACTGATCGTTTGCGTAGTGCAACCTGCCATCCAGCCATCTGTGTTTTCTGGGCAATGTTTTGAGATTTCCGTAAATTCTTCTCTCCCTGTTACGAACTGATTTGCCAAAAGAAGGTAAAATCCGGTGGCCAGAAGTTCGAAGTTGCTTNNNTTAAGATGACCATAGTCCTACAACGTTCCTATGGCAACGAAGGACGTGTATCCCAGATAATTCCAGCGAAGAGTGATTGTATAGTTCCGAGTCCGACGATGTAACGGACCGCGCGGCCGATTTCGAAGGCCCCACCAATTGTTTATATGACCTGCGTACCAGACACGGGCAAAGGCTTTCAATATATGTTCATCTGTATTTCTTCGTGGATTCATTGATTTGAATTAAATATTTAATGTGTGAATAGAGTTTTACCTACCACAGTGAAAGTAACAATGACCTTTTCTGAGGTAACTTATTTATGGTGTGGAATCAACGGTCCACTGTATTTTGTATTCCTCTTTGCCCATTTTCAGAAAACTGATGAACGATTCAAAGGACGGTCATTTGTCCTTGTCTGCATTTCACGAAGGCACTTCTCAGGGAGAAAGAGAAGAACCGATGGATCCCCTCGGATCCCATAGAAATCTTTCTGCCGATTTTCGCGAAGATACAAATTCCAAACATGATAAGGCACAAAATCCAGTTGTACGAAATAAGAATTTAGAGCTCAGTAGTTACTTTGCTGGAGAGCCCACTCAGGATGATCCATTCGAAGCCGTTTTTCAACCGAAAGGTGGCGGATTGCATGAAGTAAGTATTTCCGCTGCTCATATTATGGCCTTTATCTAATCATTAATTTTAATACCCAATGAACGATTAAACGGTATTTTTTTGCACTTCCCACAGGAGACGTTTATCAGCTGCAAATCTTGATACGATTCCGGTTTGTCTATTAGGTGACTCCGTTGCGGCATCCGGTTGTCTCTGAAGGGTCGAGTGTATGCTGCAGCAGTTCGGCCATGTGCTGCGGTGCAAAGACTTCGCCACTACGAAAACATGATAAAAGTATATGTTATACATATATTTTTTTGTCACACCACTGAATCCAGACTATGTGTCAAACAAATCACGGTACAATAATATTTATGAAAAAGAAAGACGTTCCATGATTTGCATGTGGGCCGAATACTGCCAGGCTGCCCAGGCCAAAGTAGGTGGATTTCCCTGAGAAAGTCACAACCGGAGCCTTGGGCTAGCCAAAGCCTGACCCGCAAGGCAGCGGGGCGGTGTGTGAAAACCGCAATCCATTGGATCATAGCTCCTTCGAATGGGGTCAAACGTCCAACGTGTCCAATACACCAATACACCAATACCACTTCCACAAGCAGGAAGTTGTGTCTGTGGTTCCTACGCCTCCTCATGATTGGTTTGGAATCAGGGTTTTTGGCCGACTCCCCTAGGTGAACTACCAGTGGTCCACCAACCCGGTTATAGCCCCGGATGTCGGCTCTTCGTCCTCTCACTTTGATGGGAAAACACCTTCACGAGAAGGTAGTGAGTAGGGCTTCCTCAGCAGAGGCTATTTGAGACGCTTGGTCGTATGGGAGCATTTCGCGAGGTGCAAGGAAAAGGTGACCAGCCGCAACCCTACACACCCACCCCCGACCATACTGAGGCTTTTGGATGCTGATAAAGGTAGATTATGGGTGCTGGACACCACTTTCTATGTCACATTGCACGAGTTAGGTGAGGTAACCGGATGAGCAATGCGTAGGTTAGGCGTAGAGTATTAAGTAATCGCGGTCGTCCACCGGTAACTAGTCGATTTCCATAGACTACGGTCGTTGGAATATGTGTCGCGAATGTCACAAAATGAGTTGCCACGGTGAGCGATGTTTGCGTAGTCGAGCAGCTGATTTCCAATGGTCAAGGTCAGTCGATAGAAGACCTGGCTTGAAGGTGTGAAAACTTTAACCAGGATACTGGGTCATATCGGTCCCGTTAGGCTCCCTGTATGGGAACCCCGAGATCATGGTAACTGGTGGCTAGACGGTGAGTGATATGGCTGGGTGTCGCAAATCGTGGCACTTGTGCATCTACTCTACGCTTACCATCTACTACGTCTAACTTAGCCGGGCCTTATGTGGTTCGCCACTCCCAGTCCCGCGGCTTAAGTTACCGGTTTCCATCGCTGAGCAGCAGTTCCTCGTGACTATGGGGTTCGCCCCATCTGCTGTTCAGCGCACAATGATGTGTAATAAAAACCCATTTTTCTTGTAATCCTAGTCTATATGAATTCTCCATGTTTTGGTTGATTCTTCTCGCAACATTCCAATCGTTATTCTGCTCTTTTGTCCTAATGAGCGCCCAAAAGACAGCAACCAAAACCGGCACACGAAAGTGCATGGTTAATTGTTGTAAAAACTGAACTGAGCTGAATTTGTTGACGTCACCATCGGACCACCACCGCCCACAGTGTGACAACAGTCAAGATGTCCATAGAATCTGCATGCCCATTCGATGACTGGTAAATTTAACTGTCCATGATTGCGTATATTTTGCTTTAAAATGCCCCTTCCGCTCAAAAAAATCTGCAGCAACAAGAACATTCAACGTTTTGGTTAGCAGCTAACTGAATGTACTCCGCGAGCTGAGAAGTTTGGGAGCCTGTAATCTTCCAATTTCAGTTTTCGTAGCTTACTATCGTGCAACGTTTTGGGTTTCTGTCTTTTTACTGATAAACAGTCAAACGAAGTGCACTACCGAGATCTTGATGCTGAAGGTGTTCTTAGGGAAAAGATCATATCATGAACGATGACAAATAGAGCGGCTTTTGTCTACCTATGACCTACGAAAGCCTCAGTTTGGTCGGAGGTGGTGTCACCACAGAAATTATGTGACCACGATAGCTGCTATTTCTGTTGCTCGACATAGCTTAACATTCTTTTGGTTTCACTCTCCTGTACATTCGATTTTTCATTCTCATTAGACCCCGACAACTGCCGTTATCAACAAGCCAGCAGCCCCCGTTACAGCGCCGGTTGCGAACAAATCAGCGGTTTCACTCGATTCTGCCACGCTGAATCGTTTGCGCCAACGTGATGCCTGGCTGCCATCTGAGACTACCAAGAGTGCGTTAAATCAACAAGCCCAAGGGAAGCAATCCGCCGATGTTGCAGAAATCAAACCGGTCCTCTCACCTCGCGAGGGGACGGAGGCACTCTCGTCGGGAGCAGATTTAAACAAACTGAACGATCCCTATCATGCATTGCTATTGAACTATTTACGTGATGAAGCCACCGTCGATGCCTTGCGCCACGTTCCCAATCCAGTCGAACAAACAACAGTTGGTCCCGAAAACCTGAAGGAATTGATTGTAAGTTGTTCTTACGTAAAAAAACAGAAGTTGCTACAATGGATTTTTCATCGTTGAGATTAGGTTTTTAGTAAATTTAGATAACCGGAGTAATCCTGGTCGATGCGCCGACCACGCCAGTCATGTCGGTAATAAACTATGCCTCTCCTCCTTGGTGGGGACGTGTCAGCATTGTTATGCTATGGCCGCCAGTGACCCCATTTGTCTTGATCTGCCCGTTACACAGTTGTGTGCAAAACGCTATGGATCAACCAATTTGATTTGATGAGTTTTAAAATATTCCATTGGTATCTTAGTCTTGGTACATTCTTGAGCTTGTACCGAATACGTCCAGGGATATTTGATGCTTTTCACTCCCCAACTTTTGGCCATTTAAAACACCCACAATGGACTATGATAGTCACATCTTGGTTGGGACCCCTTTTCTTCTCTGGCTTTTTTCACTTCACTTTAAATTTGGAAGCTGTTCACCTTGTTGCTCATCCCACTCGAATATCCGCTCTTGAACCACCTTCTGTGCTGTGCTGCGCTTCCCTCGCCCTGTTCTTCCCTTATTTCCACAGAATCGAATTCCTCAGAACTTGTTTCTCCAATCCCGCACACGTAGATTCGTCTACCAGTAATAGTTACACGTATTGGATCACTCTCATTCAGGAACTGTGAAAGATTGTCGCATAATTGACTATAAATTTTGTTTTTTTATGAGGAAATGGTGTTATTGTGCAATACTGTGTTGTTCCCCTTGTCATAGATTTATTATTGTCCTTTCCGTTGCATAGATTGCTGTTATTC